TGCATCGATCTTGATACAGGGTACTTATTATATGTTATAGTTTGGATTCCTAAAGCTTTTAGTCTACTAACCCATCATCCAAGGGTAGTTTTCACTATAAGTAATGGTTTATTTTTTGGACGGACACTATAATTTACAGTTTTTTACTATGTTCAATCTGAATTTTCATTAAAATAAAAACATCTATATTGATTCTGACTCTTCTACATCCAACTCACAGGTTTATCATTACTAAAAAGTAAATAGTAAAAAACTGTAAATTATAGTGTCCGTCCAAAAATTATTTTTTACTTATAGTGAAAACTACCCTTGGATGATGGGTTAGTAGACTAAAAGCTTTAGGAATCCAAAGTACAACATATAATAAGTACCCTGTATTAAGATTGATGCAAAACAAGTGACATTTGACCTTTACAGAGAGATTTAGCCAAAAGAAACCACTTCTGGGGTCATTTGGGTGGAAATGGGCGTTTTTGCCGTTTCTCTGGAACCCATTGGTTGATTTTGATGATTGACATCTCTTTTGAACCGTTAGAGCCAATAGAATCGAAGGGGAACTTCCACATACACACCAACGTTACGATTGAGAAGTGGGGGCTCTGCGCAAGCAGTTTGCCCTAATCGAAACCTATCTTACGCTCTGAAATCTGAAAATGGAAAAGTAGGTTTATTGCTTATGGATTATCAGAAATCATTTCAAAGGGACACAGACACATTGGATTAACCTATGGATTAACCTTCAGCAGCGTTTTTATCGTTTTAATGCCATTGAAGACAACTTTTGATCAGACAACAACAAAGGTAAGACATATTGCCGTGGTTGCTACCTAATGCCACGTGTTGTGATGTCTGTTTTGTTTATAATGTCGCGAGTTCTGATCATGGAGTGATGCTATAGATACCTATCGATTCTGTGTACTCTCACGATGCTAATCGATATGTTGGATGTGCAGTTACGATAAGTAATAAGGGTGTTATACCGTGTTTTCTGTGCTAACGGCGTTAGCATTTCTTCGCTAATTCAGAGGCTCAGCGTTAGCCTTGTGTTTTGTTTTGCTAAAAATGGTTCATATCATCAGTTAGCTGAGTTTCTTCCCGTTACATGGATATGAAACATTCATAGTTTATTAAATATTAAGAAGCCCTCAGACGCTGTTTCCTGCAGATGATGCGTTTTTCCGCCCGGGGGCGGGGGGATGGCGTTCAACAGGTTACAGTCTGTTCAAATCCGTTCACATAATTCTTTACACTTTTAACCTTAACGATGTTTTTATGTATTATTATGTATAGCTCACAGGGCACGATGTCCTTGTAGCGGTTCTTCTTGCTGTTCTCCTGTTTCTCTGCCGTCTTTGTTGGGAACGTCCGGTCGGACCGGTACTTCATCGACTGGCACTTCAACTTCTGGAAGACACACAAGAACAACTGTAATCAGACGACGTCCATCTGGAGCGTTTCAATCAGAGTTCCTTGAAGACGTGTCAGGACTTTTTTAGAGGTAGCATCAAAATTAAAACACAGTGTGACGTCATGGCTGCAAAACCTTCCCCAACACTGCATATCCCCACAGACTGACAGCAAGTCAATAGATAACAAGCAGTGGTGGAAGTATTAATACCTTTTACTGAAGTGAACGCAGCGAGATCACAGTAAAATAGTGTGCAACAAGTAAGAACGATCAAGAAAATGCACCTAAAGTATCAAAGTAAAGGTTTATGCAACATGAAGCAGTTATTCTTGTTACCTTAAAGCCATTTGAAAACGATTAAACACTATTATTACATTTAAAAATATAAAATACATTACACAAAAAGCAGTATAAATTGTTCTAAAGACGTAATTATAGAAATGTTTTTTAGTATTGTAGCTGGAAGCAAAAGAGCTCCTTTTATTATGTCCTATCCTGTCATGGTGTGGAGCAGCTGAGGTGTAGTTCAGCCTTCAGTGTGAAGTCATGCTCAGTTTGTATCTGATTCATCAACGACTGACCAGAATCTGAGACTCTGACGTGGAGGTGAAGCTGCAGTCTGAAGTCTGTCTGAAGTGTGTGTGAAGCTGCAGTCTGAAGTCTGTCTGAAGTGTGTGTGAAGCTGCAGTCTGAAGTCTGTCTGAAGTGTGTGTGAAGCTGCAGTCTGAAGTCTGTCTGAAGTGTGTGTGAAGCTGCAGTCTGAAGTCTGTCTGAAGTGTGTGTGAAGCTGCAGTCTGAAGTCTGTTTAAAGTGTGTGTGAAGCTGCAGTCTGAAGTCTGTCTGAAGTGTGTGTGAAGCTGCAGTCTGAAGTCTGTCTGAAGTCTGTCTGAAGTCTGTCTGAAGTGTGTGTGAAGCTGCAGTCTGAAGACTGTCTGAAGTGTGTGTGAAGCTGCAGTCTGAAGACTGTCTGAAGTGTGTGTGAAGCTGCAGTCTGAAGACTGTCTGAAGTGTGTGTGAAGCTGCAGTCTGAAGTCTGTCTGAAGTGTGTGTGAAGCTGCAGTCTGAAGTCTGTCTGAAGTGTGTGTGAAGCTGCAGTCTGAAGTCTGTCTGAAGTGTGTGTGAAGCTGCAGTCTGAAGTCTGTTTAAGTGTGTGTGAAGCTGCAGTCTGAAGTCTGTCTGAAGTGTGTGTGAAGCTGCAGTCTGAAGACTGTCTGAAGTGTGTGTGAAGCTGCAGTCTGAAGTCTGTCTGAAGTGTGTGTGAAGCTGCAGTCTGAAGTCTGTCTGAAGTGTGTGTGAAGCTGCAGTCTGAAGTCTGTCTGAAGTGTGTGTGTGAAGCTGCAGTCTGAAATCTGTCTGAAGTGTGTGTGAAGCTGCAGTCTGAAGTCTGTTTAAAGTGTGTGTGAAGCTGCAGTCTGAAGTCTGTCTGAAGTGTGTGTGAAGCTGCAGTCTGAAGTCTGTCTGAAGTGTGTGTGAAGCTGCAGTCTGAAGCCTGTCTGAAGTGTGTGTGAAGCTGCAGTCTGAAGTCTGTTTAAAGTGTGTGTGAAGCTGCAGTCTGAAGTCTGTCTGAAGTGTGTGTGAAGCTGCAGTCTGAAGCCTGTCTGAAGTGTGTGTGAAGCTGCAGTCTGAAGTCTGTCTGAAGTGTGTGTGAAGCTGCAGTCTGAAGTCTGTCTGAAGTCTGTCTGAAGTCTGTCTGAAGTGTGTGTGAAGTGTGTGTGAAGCTGCAGTCTGAAGCCTGTCTGAAGTGTGTGTGAAGCTGCAGTCTGAAGTCTGTCTGAAGTGTGTGTGAAGCTGCAGTCTGAAGTCTGTCTGAAGTGTGTGTGAAGCTGCAGTCTGAAGTCTGTCTGAAGTGTGTGTGAAGCTGCAGTCTGAAGTCTGTCTGAAGTGTGTGTGAAGCTGCAGTCTGAAGTCTGTCTGAAGTCTGTCTGAAGTCTGTCTGAAGTGTGTGTGAAGCTGCAGTCTGAAGCCTGTCTGAAGTGTGTGTGAAGCTGCAGTCTGAAGTCTGTCTGAAGTCTGTCTGAAGTCTGTCTGAAGTGTGTGTGAAGCTGCAGTCTGAAGTCTGTCTGAAGTGTGTGTGAAGCTGCAGTCTGAAGTCTGTCTGAAGTCTGTCTGAAGTGTGTGTGAAGCTGCAGTCTGAAGCCTGTCTGAAGTGTGTGTGAAGCTGCAGTCTGAAGCCTGTCTGAAGTGTGTGTGAAGCTGCAGTCTGAAGCCTGTCTGAAGTGTGTGTGAAGCTGCAGTCTGAAGTCTGTCTGAAGTGTGTGTGAAGCTGCAGTCTGAAGTCTGTTTAAAGTGTGTGTGAAGCTGCAGTCTGAAGTCTGTCTGAAGTGTGGTGTGAAGCTGCAGTCTGAAGTCTGTCTGAAGTGTGTGTGAAGCTGCAGTTTGAAGTGTGTGTGAAGCTGCAGTCTGAAGTCTGTCTGAAGTCTGTCTGAAGTGTGTGTGAAGCTGTTGTTTAAAGTGTGTGTGAAGCTGCAGTCTGAAGCCTGTCTGAAGTGTGTGTGAAGCTGTTGTTTAAAGTGTGTGTGAAGCTGCAGTCTGAAGTCTGTTTAAAGTGTGTGTGAAGCTGCAGTCTGAAGTCTGTTTAAAGTGTGTGTGAAGCTGCAGTCTGAAGTCTGTCTGAAGTGTGTGTGAAGCTGCAGTCTGAAGTCTGTCTGAAGTCTGTCTGAAGTGTGTGTGAAGCTGCAGTCTGAAGCCTGTCTGAAGTGTGTGTGAAGCTGCAGTCTGAAGTCTGTCTGAAGTGTGTGTGAAGCTGCAGTCTGAAGTCTGTTTAAAGTGTGTGTGAAGCTGCAGTCTGAAGTCTGTCTGAAGTGTGTGTGAAGCTGCAGTCTGAAGTCTGTCTGAAGTGTGTGTGAAGCTGCAGTCTGAAGTCTGTCTGAAGTGTGTGTGAAGCTGCAGTCTGAAGTCTGTCTGAAGTCTGTCTGAAGTCTGTCTGAAGTGTGTGTGAAGCTGCAGTCTGAAGCCTGTCTGAAGTGTGTGTGAAGCTGCAGTCTGAAGCCTGTCTGAAGTGTGTGTGAAGCTGCAGTCTGAAGCCTGTCTGAAGTGTGTGTGAAGCTGCAGTCTGAAGTCTGTCTGAAGTGTGTGTGAAGCTGCAGTCTGAAGTCTGTTTAAAGTGTGTGTGAAGCTGCAGTCTGAAGTCTGTCTGAAGTGTGTGTGAAGCTGCAGTCTGAAGTCTGTCTGAAGTGTGTGTGAAGCTGCAGTTTGAAGTGTGTGTGAAGCTGCAGTCTGAAGTCTGTCTGAAGTCTGTCTGAAGTGTGTGTGAAGCTGTTGTTTAAAGTGTGTGTGAAGCTGCAGTCTGAAGCCTGTCTGAAGTGTGTGTGAAGCTGTTGTTTAAAGTGTGTGTGAAGCTGCAGTCTGAAGTCTGTTTAAAGTGTGTGTGAAGCTGCAGTCTGAAGTCTGTTTAAAGTGTGTGTGAAGCTGCAGTCTGAAGTCTGTCTGAAGTGTGTGTGAAGCTGCAGTCTGAAGTCTGTCTGAAGTCTGTCTGAAGTGTGTGTGAAGCTGCAGTCTGAAGCCTGTCTGAAGTGTGTGTGAAGCTGCAGTCTGAAGTCTGTCTGAAGTGTGTGTGAAGCTGCAGTCTGAAGTCTGTTTAAAGTGTGTGTGAAGCTGCAGTCTGAAGTCTGTCTGAAGTGTGTGTGAAGCTGCAGTCTGAAGTCTGTCTGAAGTGTGTGTGAAGCTGCAGTCTGAAGTCTGTCTGAAGTGTGTGTGAAGCTGCAGTCTGAAGTCTGTCTGAAGTGTGTGTGAAGCTGCAGTCTGAAGTCTGTCTGAAGTCTGTGTGAAGCTGCAGTCTGAAGTCTGTCTGAAGTGTGTGTGAAGCTGCAGTCTGAAGTCTGTTTAAAGTGTGTGTGAAGCTGCAGTCTGAAGTCTGTTTAAAGTGTGTGTGAAGCTGCAGTCTGAAGTCTGTCTGAAGTCTGTGTGAAGCTGCAGTCTGAAGTCTGTCTGAAGTGTGTGTGAAGCTGCAGTCTGAAGTCTGTTTAAAGTGTGTGTGAAGCTGCAGTCTGAAGTCTGTTTAAAGTGTGTGTGAAGCTGCAGTCTGAAGTCTGTCTGAAGTGTGTGTGAAGCTGCAGTCTGAAGTCTGTTTAAAGTGTGTGTGAAGCTGCAGTCTGAAGTCTGTTTAAAGTGTGTGTGAAGCTGCAGTCTGAAGTCTGTTTAAAGTGTGTGTGAAGCTGTTGTTTAAAGTGTGTGTGAAGCTGCTCTCTCACACTCAGCTCTCGGACCCCCTGCTCACCACAGACAGCTTTTTGTTCTTTAAGGAAATGATGCAACAGAGAGAGAGGGGGGGTCGTTACTCATCACCATGGCAACAGATGATGTCATTCGGGATGTGTCGAGAGGGATATAAATATGTCAAAGTACATGCGTGTGCGAATATGAATGCACCAAAATGGTTCTGTGTAGTTCTGCTTTTATCGGTGTGTTTTAAAGAGTGTTTAAAGAGTGTTTTAAAGAGTGTTTAAAAAGTGTTTAAAGAGTGTTTAAAGAGTGTTTAAAGAGTGTTTAAAGAGTGTTTAAAGAGTGTTTTAAGAGTGTTTTAAGAGTGTTTAAAGAGTGTTTTAAAGAGTGTTTAAAGAGTGTTTAAAGAGTGTTTTAAAGAGTGTTTCAGGTGTTTCGCGTGTTTCCCGTGTTTCCGCGTGTTTTCCGCGTGTTTTCCGCGTGTTTCCAGCGTGTTTCCCGCGTGTTTCCCGCGTGTTTTCGCGTGTTTCCCGCGTGTTTCCCGCGTGTTTTCCCGCGTGTTTCCCGCGTGTTTCCCGCGTGTTTCCCGCGTGTTTCCCGCGTGTTTTCCCGCGTGTTTCCCCGTGTTTCCCGCGTGTTTCCCGAGTGTTTTCGAGTGTTTTCCAGAGTGTTTAAAGAGTGTTTTAAAGAGTGTTTAAAGAGTGTTAGCCTTTGCAGACCATTGACATGCACTAAAACACTACAGGAGAGGGAACACTACAGAAGAAAGTTTTTAAAAAGCAGTGGTTTGGAAATAGTGTGTAGGTCCGCCTGCTGTGCTTCTTGTTTTGATGTTTGTGTGTTGTTTTTAAAAGCTTTAAACCCAGGAAAGGACAACATGGTACGATCCAGGACGTCTCATACTAAGATATATATTAATCCAGGTATCTCCCATCCTTCCTGAAACTCTGCATGTTTTAAAAGCTTGCAGGTGACCCAGAGACTCTCTTGCTGCCAGGGAAAGAGATTGTAGTCAATACAAATGTTGACTAAAATAAAAGAGGATATCATTGTTGGTTTTTATATGTTTATATATATAATGCATTTGCATGTGTGTCTTCCTTGTTCCTGAATGCAACCTTCAGTGACTTTAAAGAGGAAGCAGAAGAGTGGCGTTACAGCGAGTCACTTCCCCGAACAGTCAAACTTTTTGAGAGCATTTTTTTAATCTAAAGAACGTAGTAACGCTTACTGTCGGTCAAACTTCTGATGGTGTGACAATGAAAGCTGCTTCATGACCGCTTCCTCTACCATCTTAGAGTTCAAGAAAAGGGAGATGTAAGCGTGGCGTTGCATTAGCAGCGAGCCACTTCCCTGAACACAACAACCTTTTTGAGAAAACTGTGAAACTTAACGCTTACTGTCAGTCAAACTTGTGATGATCTTATAATGAAATCTGCTTTATTTACACGACTCCTTCAAGAAAACTAAGATGTAAGACTCTGACTGTAACCATTGTTCCCACAGTCAGTCAACCTTGTGTTGATGTGACAATGAAAGCTGCTTTGCGACAGCTTCCTCTACCATATTAGAGTTCAAGAAAAGGGAGATACAAGCAGCTTCTTGTTCTACACTTCTTTAATAAAACCAAGATGTAAGACTCACAGTGAACTCCCCGGCGATGCCGTCCGCCGCCTCCTGGCTCTTCAGCTGCGACAGGAAGCTCCTCAGAATACAGGCCTGCTGCTCCATGATGGGACTCCTCTCTCAGGCATGTCAGGGGGTCAGGGGTCAAAGTCCTGGAGGTCTAGAGTCTCTGGATCAGGGCCTTTCTGCTGCTGCACAGAGCACTCGTGTTAGTCGTTCCATGGAGGAACTGTTGTGAGGGAACATGTGAGGCGCGTTAGAGGAAGCAGCAAACAGGTTCTTGTGGTCAGATTACAAAACAGTGT